TTGGCCTGCCCATTGGCCCGTCCCCTTGGCCTGCCCATTGGCCCGTCCCCTTGGCCTGCCCATTGGCCCGTCCCCTTGGCCTGCCCATTGGCCCGCCCCTCGGCCTGTCCATTGGTCTATCCCTCTGACCACTCATTGGCCCACCCCTCTGCCTGCCTATTGGCCCGTTCTCTCAGCCCCGCCCCCTAGGCCCCTCCCCTGAGCCAGGTGCTGCGTTCCACCCGTGGTTGCCAGGCAACGCCTCCAGCTCCAGCGGGGGTCTTGGGAGGCGGCGACACTCGCGCGGTGAGCCCACCGAGAGCCACCTCTGTCCCGCCTTAGCCATGGCCTCGCTTCGCAACGCCGACCCCGCGCTGAGGAACTACTTCAAGGAGAACTACATTCCTCAGGTCTGCGAGGTACTGGAGCCAAGTGGCTGCGGACGCAGGTCGAGCGTGGGGAGGGGGAAGGGCATGAAGAGTGGCGGGAAGGCGGAGCGGAAAGGGAGAGGGTGAAGTCAAATCGAGTGAGGCGGAGGTGGAGTCGGAACAAGCCCTGCGAGTGACGGTGGTCGAGGCGGTCGGGGACAGCTCCCACGGAGCACTTGGCTCAGCGCGGGCTCCGCGAACACCATCTTCGGAGGTTTGGACTGGAAGAGCCAGAGGATGGAGAAGGATGAGCAAGAAGTGCCAGAGACTGAGCGGGGAGGCGGGCGGGCCAGCGGTGTAGGGAACGTCTTAAGGAAGGAGAGAGCAGTGATCCCTCTCCTGGACCCGGCCGGGGCGAGCCGTGGGAAGGCCCCACACCATCCCGTTGCCTTCACAGCAGGGACCGCCGTCCCCGCCTCCCTAGGACAGGAGCGAATGGCAAGGGTGGGGTTGAATAGTAGATGCCGTGGGTTTGGGGGCAGGAGGCTGATAAAGTTCTCCGGTGATTTCCTTCCGTTTCCTACATAGTTAGCGAGATGTTCGCCAAGGTGGTGTGTGTGTGGGTGGGCGAGGGGCTGCGGTAGGAGGTGTGAGCAAAGGTAGTGGAGAATGGGGAAGAGAGATAGCTGGGGGAAGTGAAAGGTCTGACCTCTGTCTATTCCCTGCAGCCCCTCCTGTTCCCAGCCATCTGAAACCAGCAAAAAATGCCAACTGCTAGGATGTGGCACGCCCCCCCTCCCCCACCTGCTAGGTCACAAGGCACCCACTACAGAATGTTAGCTGTTGCTATGGGTACATACTCAGACATTCCTGCTCCCCCAATCTCCCACCTCCCTTCACTTCACCCCACCTCAGCCTGTCCCACTAACTGCCTTAACCCCATCCATAAAAGACCCAGCTCAATAAACTGGACCTGGACTCTCCTTGGAGTTACTCCAGGAGGTTCTGCCTGGAACCCCAAATTTGGGCTGGTGCTGTGTTCTTTTATTATCTAACATCTGGTGCTGAAAACCTGGGAGGTGGTGGTCTGGAGCCCCTGCTCAGGCATGTGGCACCCTCACCTCAACCTACTGGGCAATAAGAACTAGTGACCTCATTGCTTCCAGCCCACCAGAGACCTCTTCCTAACGTCTCTGCCACCTAAATTGCGCCCCTCAAGACTGTGGGTAAGTTCTCAGTCAAGTGTGTCTGTTCCTCTGGTCAGCTGTTCAAGTCCTGATTAGGTCCAACCTCCAGCTTTGGCCGTGGTACAACAGACCTACCCAGATGTAGGTTGCTGTTTGTCCTTCATTTCAGCTTTTGGTCTTCGTCTGGAGGATGCTCCTTTGTCGTCCTTCCTGTTGGACACTCTGGGCCCTGACTGATCATGGGAGGAACTGCCCCTGCCCCTCCTAAAAACACTTCTCTGGAGTGTCTCCTCATGTGCAAAATCCTGTCTCAACCCAAAATGTCTGATCTTTTTCTGTAAAGCTAAATGATGGCTTTTTTTTGCCCAAAGTATGGTTCATTTGATTTTTTAGATCCTTTTTGACGGTGACCATTTTCTTCAGAGTTCAGACAAATGGGAAGAGGTCCCCTCTGATCAGGCCTTTTTTGCCCTTGCTCTTGTCCCTCCCTCTGTTCTTTCTGCTCTACCTAACACCAGATGATACCTCCCCCATGCCAGTGTTTGGCCCCAGGCTCTTCGGTCCCATAAGCAAACCTTCCCCTTCCCCCTTTACCTGGCTTTCCTCCCGACAGACCACCCCTGCCAAGTCTGCCGAGCCCCTGACCCAAAACCCCTCTACCCTTTGGGAAAGGTTGCCCACACCAACGGCCCTACCCATGTCTACATCCTATTCTTCCTTTCCAGTCTCTCTCAACTAGGAGGCTTGCCTCAGTTCCTTCTCATCAAGCCCCTCACATTACATTAAAAAACGTACTTATCCCACTCCTCTAACTTCACACAGTGCGATATTCATGTAATTCTCCCTGTGGCTGTCCTCTTCAATGAGGGGCAAGGATGATGGCTGCAGGTACAGCCAGTGCAGCCCACACCGGAAATAATTACAGAAAGCCCAGGGCAGTTACTGTTCCTAGACTGGCCCCTAGAGGGAACCATGAGCCTAGTCACAGAGACTGGGAAAAAAATGCCAAGACTTTCTCCAATACATTGTCATTGGTCTAGACAGGGCCTCCATTAAATCTATCAGTTTTGACAAACTCTCAAAAAATCTCTCAAGACCGTCAAGAAAGCCTGGCCCAGTGTACAGCCTGGCACACAAAGACCCTAAAAGTCCACACCTGCTTAGATCCCTCCTCAGCCAAGGAACAACTTTTTCTCAAGGCTTCTTTATTTTCCTAGGCAGCCCCTGACATAACGATAGAGCTCAAAAATTCAAGGATGGTCCTCAAACCCCTGAGGCCGATCTCATGACCATTGCCCTCAGGGTCTACCAAAACCAAACACCTGTCAAAGAGGCCTCCAGAAAGCCTCCAGTAAATCCACCCTCCTTCTCCCAATAATGCTCTACCCAGCCTGGCCAGTTACCTAAACAGAAGTGTAAACCCACTGGGCCTTGATTTCCGTGTGGCAAAATGGGACATTGGGCAAAGCAGTGCCCAAATCCATGGCCCCCACAAAACCCTATCCTCTACAAGCCTTAAAGGGGGACTGGAGAAGGGACTGTCCTCACTCCAAAACAAGGGTGGAGCCATCCACTCCAGTGCCTGCCCTGCTGTCTTAATAGGACCTGTTCTAGCTGCCCCTAGCCTATCACCACACAAGAGCCCAGGGTAACTCTTCTGCTCAAGGGTAAGTCTCATTTATCTTCATATGGGGGCCACATATTCCTCTTTGTGAGCTTAAATGTTCAATATCAGCAATGGGAGTTGATAGCCATCCTTTTTATCCCTCAGAAACTGCTCTCATTCCTCAGCCTAGCTGGCTTTCCCCACCTTTGTGTTCCCAACTTCAGCCTCCTAACCAGGCCCCTTTATAAAGCCTCCCTCAAGCCTATACCCACACACCCCACACACCCCCACTCCTGGCTCAGGAGTTCACAACTGCCTTCAAACCTCCATCACCATGATCTCAACCACTTTCCCAGTATGCATCAAAATCCCATCCCACAGGCAGCCAGTACCAGTTCATAGATTAAGAACTTATTCCACAGCCAGGCATGGTGGTGTACACCTGTAATCCCAGCACCTGGGAGGCTGAGGCAGGATTCAAGGCTGCAAGTTCAAGGCCAGCCTGAATTGCATAGTAAAACCCTGTCTCAAAAAGACAAAAAACACAAAAAATCAAAAATCTCTTTCCAGTGGGTACAGGGTGGTCTAACTCTGGGCACATAATTGAGACCCAGGCAATCCCACAGAAAACGATTTCATAATAGACAGGAACTCATAGCTGTAACCCAGACACTTTTCCTGACTTCCTCCTGGCTTTCTCATTACACAGAAATCCCCCATCACCAACCAAGGCCGCGTAAAAACTCATAGAGACTGTCACATGGTTACTAAAGGTTGCCACTGCCTATCCCATTGAAACACTCCTTGTCCAGCCTTCACACTTACTATTCCCTCCTTCAACCCTGACCAACAGGTCCTGCTCAGCCCTTAAAGAGGCTACTCTGTAACCAATAGTTTTATAGGAGTTTTATAGGGCTAAAGTGGGACAGAACTATAATCAATAAGGTCACAAGTATATTCACTTAGGTAATATTGATCCAATGGAAAATCACAAGGTGGGTGTGAGGTGGGATGAACGAATGTTCAACCAATAAGATTACAAGTATAATCACTTAGGTAATATTGATCCAATGAAAATCACAAGGTGGGATAGTCGCTTAGGTAATATTGATTAAATGGGGATCAGATGGGGAAGGAAGTCATGTAGCCAGTGCACATTGGCCGGACAAGGACTTTCCTGGAAGGGGTGGCCTAAGGAGGTTTTGGTCCTCCACCCAAGGTTGATGCCTATGTAGAGTATCAGTCACTGGTGAGTACATCCCTAGGGGAAGTGTATGTGTGGAGACATTTTTCTTTCTCCTGAAGCCTGGTCTTCATTGAGTAGGGCTTCAGCCACAGTTACCTTCTGCACCAACCTTTCCAGGGTCCAGCCCTGTCTGACTGCCTACAATATTTCTAAATAACCTAGCTATCTATAATATTCCCACTGCTTTTCCCATCCTGCCCTTCTTACTGCTACCCTAAAACCCAAGAATGTTAGGCTAGAGGGATATTCTTCAAAAGCATTTATCTTTAGAGAACTCATTAGGAGCCCATATCATGATGCCCTTCTGCTAGAATTTCAGACAGCATATCACCAAAAAAAATTTAAAAATTTGTTTCTCCTTCAGTTTTCTAAGAGGCAGAAGTCAGCACCCTGTCTAAAGATGAACAAGACCTGTTCCACAGAGCCCTTATGATGGGTATAGTGCCCACCAAGTTAGTGAGCAGGATCCTCATCTGAGTACAAGAAAATGCTTTTCAAATTAAGAGCCCAGATTTTCATTTCTAGGGTGGATGGAAAGAGTTTGCAAAACTAGATCAGGCCAGCAGAGGGTGGACTTAAGCTACAAATCATGGTTTTAAAACCACTTTGAATTTTCATGATTTTGTGAAAAGTTTTTATGCTTTATGTTTTTGTCAAGACTAAATTGTCAATCTCTATTTTTAAAATATTTCATGTATTTCTAAATCATGAAGTCTCTATTATCAGATTTTTGGGGGGACTAATTGCTGAACACATTTTTCAGAGATGCAAAAACCAGGCATGGTGGTGCATCTGTAGTCCAGCTATTGTCTGGAGACTGAGGCCTGGAGATTGGCTTGAGGCTACAAGGCCAGGCCCAAGTACATGTATGGGTGAAGAGGAGCCTTGGGATTGTAGTTGAAAAACCTGGTTCTGTGAGTCACTTGACACTTTGGTTTATCTGTGAAATCCAGAAGCAATAGTATACCCTGTAGATAGGTGTGGTGACATTCAGCTGTTATTCTAGCTACTCAAGAAGCTGAGGCAAGAGGATTGCAAATTTTAGGCCAGGCTAGGTAACTGAGACCCTATCTCAAAATAAAAAACAAAAAGGGTGACGATGTAGCTCAGCAGGGAGTGCTTGCTGAGCATGCGCAAAGCCCAAACTGTCGCTTTTTTTTTTTTTTTTTTTAAGAAACAGGGTCTCTCTATGTAGCCCAGGCTGGCCTCAAACTCACGCCCATCCTCCTCCTCAGGCTGTCAAATGCTAAGATTACAGGTCTGTGCCACCATACCCCGCTAAACTATTACTCTTACAACTCAAGGTTATTTCTAGTTGGGTGCCAGAAACACACTATTTGGGACTCTCCATGGTATAGCCACGTAGTTGATCTGCTGCCGTTTGATGTGAAGAGCTGGTATGGTCTGACTGTGTCCCTCAGAAATTCAGACTAGGATAGTGACCTGCTGGGCCTGACAGAGGGCACGGACCCAGGACCTGAAATGATTCCAGCTTCCCTTCGGGGTGCCCTGTTGGCTGCCCTGTTACATTCATCCTTTCCCACAGCTAAACCTGTCTGAGCCCCTTTGGCTTGGCTTCTCCTTTCCCCACTGGCAAGCTCCCTGTCCTTTCCTTGCCTCTGCTTGCCCCTTGGGAGACTTCTCCAGCTGCCCAGGGCCCCACAAGCATTTGATAATCACTTTAATCTCTGCACTCTTAGAGCGGTTATTTTTACTATTTAGGCCCTTAACATATTTCAGCGTGTTTATCTGAGTATCTAACAAGATAAACAGGACTCGCTGTCCCATGTGTCCTACATCTGTGTTTGTGCCCCCCCAGAGTTACAACAGACAGTAATGCCTTGCCCCTTAGATTGGAACAGTTGTTTTCTCAGTTTCTCTCTCCTCACTATTTTCCCCAAGTGCATTTTCCTGAACCTGTTCCTTTAGGCTTGGTAGAAAGTCAGTCTTTCTCTGTCATTACACTGGACTTTGGTACAAGGGAGTATTTTGAACTTACTTTCTGTTTGCCTGAATCTTTTCCTTTAATGAATATAGTAATTAGCAGTGGAGTGGTTAAAAAGGCTAGCACTGGCTTGCTATTATTATCTATTGAGTGACTATTTTGTTCAAAGCAGTTTGCATATATTAATTTATTTACTTCTTGTGACAGCCCTATGGCCTGTGTACTTTATTGCCCATTACAGTCAGGGAAACAGGAGCAGAGCTGTAACCTGTACCAGCAGATGCACACTGGAAGACTGGGGCTCCAGGCTTTAAACCCAGTGCACCCCTCCCATTGCGCTTTCTTGCTCCCTGAATGAGAGGTAGTAGAAAGGAGTGGAAGCAGCTGTCTGGATGAACGCATGTTTGGCCTCAGTACCCTCAGAGTGTCTTTCAGATTATTTGACAGATATGGGGGACTCAGATTAGGGCAGCAGAACCAACAGAAAGTGGAGGCCTCACAGATGTTCTGGAATTCACAAGCTGGAGAAAGCCAGATGAGGCAGTAAAGCCGTGGTCTGCTCCTCTCTGATTGTGTAAGTTCTTACTGTGAGGGCTAGTAATAAGAAAGCCTTGGTTGATGTAATATTTCATCTGCTGGGAATACTTGCATATTTTTCTTCTGCTTATAATAAAGACTAAGTTAATGCTTTTGCAATTTTTAGTTTTCATCAAGCAGAAAAAAATCCATTGTTTCATTCAGGGTGCTATATTATTGGCACATTGTTACATATTGCTCATTCATTAAAACATGAGACCTCATACTGTGTTATTTTGTCTAATGGGGAAAGATGAACAGATACTTCTTATCAAAAAGTGAACATTTCACCTGTGCTAGTTCCATATGCCGTTACTGGCATTTCAAACATTCATCTTCTCAGCCTAACTTCTGCAGGATAGCTTTTTGGAAAAGTATTTTCTGATCAGAGCTTGAAAATACAAAGAAATACACAATTTCTGATAGTCATTAACCAGATCCCAGCTTTCTTAAAATTTCACTGTAAAGCTAAGCTTCATTAAAGTTCCAGTTCTCAGACTTCTGGTGGATAGGAAAAGCACCTGAAGCACCAGAGAGCAGGGGGGGGGTCTTTTTACCAGGGCTCTTCAGGGAGCTATGGGAAGAGAAGGGTTCAGCCCTTCCACTGGGTGTCACGCAGGGCCCACTCATGCTGCCCTTTAGCTAATAGACATTTTTTCCAATTCAGAACCACCGATCTCCCATGCAGCCATCTTCTCTTGGTTTGGGGGAGAAGGAAATGGGTGTACAGATGGCTGAGTGCACCCTGAGAGCAGCTGGGGTAGGACAAGGTCAGGAGACAGCTGCAGGGCGAAAGGGATCCATTGTCTTAGTCTGAGACGTTGGTCACGTCACGTCTTAAGGAGCGGGTTCCCAGCCTGCAGGCTGCATACTCAGAGGGCGCCTGGAGCTGTTGCAAAGGAAGAAATGGACTGTGCAGGGTCCAGTGTGGAGAAATTATCTTTCTTTCCCCTTCTTCCCATGGAGGTTGGGAGAACTGCTCTGCATAACTCAAGGCATGGAATTATTTTGTTCCTGAAATAGAGAAGCTGGAAAAAAGCCAGTATGAGTGAGTCCAATGTGGGAGCTGAGCCAAAGCAACGCCCCCCCCCTCACCTGGATCCCACTCAGAGAAAGGGACAGGAAAAAGACAAATGCCTAAGATTTTCAGGTGCTTTTGTGAGCTGTGTGCTGTAAACCTCTTCCTCTGTCTCAAATGGAGAAACCCGCATTCATTCTGTACGTCTCATCAATACTTTTAATGAGAAATCGTTTGTGGCACCTCATAGAGGAAAATGGAACACAGCGGCTTCCTGAGTTCTGTGTTGCATCCATGCACTTTAAATATCATCTTCTACCCAGTAAGTCATGTGTTTGCTACTAATTTTCCAATATATGTAGTCTGTGACTATTGTGAATGATCAAATACAAATGCTTTTTTTTTTTTTCTTTTTGGTACTGGGTGTGGAATCCAGGACCACTGCACTGAGTTACATCCCCAGTGTCCTGTATTTTTCTTCCTATGTTTTTATTTTGAGACAGGGTTTGGCTAAGTCACTAAATTGCCCAGGATGGGCTCCGACTCTTGTTCCTCCTGCCTCAGCCTTCCGGAGTGCTGGGATTACAGGCTTGCACCATCATGCCCACTTTGTGCATGCGTTTTTGAGTTCTTCAGTTCATAGATTTTGGTGGTGGATTTTCTCAATTGCTTTCATGGGTAGGTCTGAGGATTTTTTTAAAGTAGATTCTTGATACTTAAAAATGATTGGAACCACTTATCTAAAGTATTGTAATTATGTCTTCGTATTGGAACAAAGCACTTCTCATGTAATGTAAAATAGTGTAAGGTAACTCTGTTGTGTCATTTATGGTGGATTTTTAAAAAGAGGCAGGGAATACAGCATTTTAATTTGATTTTAACAAAATAGCAACACTGGGTAAATGCAAAAATGTTTATAAGAAGCATGGTTACTTAAGACTGTTACATTATTTGGCCATTTAATTGTATGGGGAAAAGGCTATCTTTTTTCTGAGTAAGAACATGTACATTTATTTTTTGGAACCATATCTTAGTGCTTGTATTTTATTTTATAAGTGCGTATAAGCATATGTACTATATACATAAGTACATATAAGTACATAAATAGACTGTAAGTGTATTTTCTGTTTATAGTACATAATGTTTACATTCAGTGTGAGGAACTGATACATAGACATAACACATCTTAATTCTTTTTATGTCTTCTTCCCCTCCCTTGCCTCCTGACTGCATCTTTCTTTTTTTAAACATGGAATCAAATACCCCTTTTTCACAGGCACTTTTATGTGGTGTAATTATTACCCGTCCTGAGGATCCACTGAGATATTTAGAGAAAATGATCATGGTTATCATTGAAAATGGCCTGGAAAGTCTTCTTTGGTAAGTATTGATTGAATTTATGATAGGAAAATATTTTATTTTGAAGGTAAAACACTGATAGCATAATATTGAAGTAAGGTTTGGCAATGAATGCTTCCATCTCCAAGATTATTAACAACTCCCTCCATAGGATGTTAGGTCTCAATGACTCACATGTGAACAGTACGAAATGTAGTGTACTCTCATCAGTAAATGTGATCATAGGGCACATTATTTCACATTGAGGATGAGGAAAGGGAGGTACACCTACCTTGGAGAGGTCAGGAAATTAGGGTGACATTTCAACTTGATTGGCTTCAGGATCCGCTCCAGGGATTGGTAGAACATACACCTAGGTGTGTCTGGGTGGGTCATGGAGACATGGCCTGGGTGGGTCATTGGGTTCTGCGCTGGTCCCTCACCACGTCTGCTCAGGCTGTCTTCCCCTGCTTCCTGGCACCATGAACTAAGCATTGTCCCACTGCACCCTTCCACTATGATGTCTCTGCTTTGGAGCCAGCTGGTCATGGACTGAAATCATGATCAAATTAAACCACTCCTCCTGCAAGTTGTAGATGTTGGGCATTGTTCTAGCCTGGATGAGAAAGCTAATCCAAGGAGGTAGTGTGAAAAAGCCCACAGGTGATTCTGATCTTCTTCCACGGGGAAATGTCTCTTCTTACCTGTCCCTTCCACAGGAGTCACTGACTTAACTATAAGCATACTGTGAAACGAAATTAATTCTTGATCTTGTTTTATGGTTTTATTAAAGGGATATGTGCATTGATCCATCATTGAAACCAAAAATGCGAAGATTGTCTGAAACTTACCTTGAACAACTTTTTGGACTGCATGATCAGCTGGTAATTCTTACTTACCAAACATTGTAAAACATACAATACAATTTAAGTCCTGATGGACATTTTCAAACAGATTTTAGATTTCACAGGAGGTAAGAGGTCAGACTGCACTGGTAACCAGGGGCACCTAGAAAAGTGAAAGAATAACGCACACGATAGCACGCACATGTGTATGAAAGCACTCACACACGATACACAGCCACTCATAGTTACCTCCCCCAGTTTCCAAGAAACACATAGGCATTTGTTGATCCTTGTTGTGCATGTTCTCCTCTCCCTTCTCCTCTTCTCTCATGTAGAGAAGTAGCATTATGAAACATGGTAAAGGAGAAGGTATTCTTTCCCTTCTAATCTCCTTTGTGGGTTCTATTCCCCCTCCATTCTCTCTGCTGGCTGCCCTCGCAGATGAAGATGGAGGGCACCACGCTCCTACAGACATGGTCAAAGAATTAACGAGGTCTAGCTTGAAAGCTGGACCTGACTGTTCCTGAAAGAAACAACTGCTCCCACAACTGGTTTTGATCCTGTTAAGAGGACAAGGAAGTGCAGTAACTGAGGAGGTGGAGGCTTAGAACAAAGACTGTGTATGTGAAAGGAGCTAAAGTAGGAGAAAGGATGTGGGGAGAGCAGTACTCACCCAGATTAGATGCGTGTAGGATAGTGTGTGAGAACTCTTGATTTCAGGCCTGCTGGCCATGTAAGCCCAGGCAGGGGTTGGGAGTTGCTGGAGAAGTTGTGTTTTGAAAATTGGAATCAAAGCCATGTTTGAAGTGCATGCTGAGAGCCAGGGACAGTTTGAGGTATTCCTTTACAAGGATAGGTGGAGAGTAACATTATATCCTAATAAGTATTCTGCAAAAGAGAAAGAAATGGATGCACTGTGTGACTCTGCCAAGACCAGGCTGACCTGAAAGTACCAGTGCACTGGGTAGAATGCACATTTAATCTGCATCACGGTGTGTAGCATAATTACTCCACTTTATCAACCACAGACCTTTGGTCCGCTAAATACTACAGGTGTTTGCAAGCTCTATTCTTGAAGATGTTTGAGGGTCACCTAGAAGCTAAAAGAGGGAGACCATGGACACACTTCTGAGTCCTCTGTTCCCACCTCTTCACTCTAGACGAGTTTTGTTTTCAGTGTAATTTCACTTGAAGAAAGCTCAAAAGCCATTGATTGCTGAAAGTTGCTTTGAAAACCAGTGATCTAGAGGTCTAAACCTCATTGTCAATATTTTGTCAGGGATCTTATATGAAATCAGATTATGTCCAATGTCTACAGAAGCCCATAGGAATTTTTATGTAGTCTCACAGAATGCCATGAGATGTGATAGCTATTTCATACTTACAGTTTTATTAGAAAAGAAATTTTCAGGTATTTCATGATGTGGAAAGCACAGCTGCTTTCATGATGGATCAGCGTCTAAAGTTTAAAAGCATTGTGATAATTTAGCAATGCAGAGAAAAGACCTCTGTATCATATCATAAATTTAAAAAAAAAAAAAGAAATGAGATGTGACTTTGCAACAATGAGAAACGTATTTGTTCAGGTCAGACGTGAACATGGGAGTCTCCAGGTACTCTAGGGTTGATTAGTTAGATCTGGATCTAGATTACTTCACTTTCCTTCACTCTCAGATATAAATAAATGTTATTTGTGATGATGAAATAAATCTTCAATGGTTGTGAAATTTTAAATTACAGCATAGTAAGGAAATATTAGCTTTATTTTTAAAAAATATTTAAAAGTTTCCTATATAGTTATAACTGCCAGTAGGTGGGGTTTCAGTATTTTAACCAAAAAAATTAAATATCACAAAAATTATAATTTTCCACATTGCTTAAGATAGCTCTGTAGCACTTTACAGTCTCATACTATACAGTTCTGCACAGTAAGGGCTGCCTATATATGAACATTTATAAAGTATGAATATGCCTCTTTACATAAAGAAGAGCATATATGGGAAACTAAGTAGCTGAGTCAAATCATGAACCAAAAAAAAGTTCCTCTCATGACAATAGAAAGACAGTTTGTGTGTTCCAAGATGACAGATCAGGCATTGTAAGGAAAAACTAATTTCACAGACTTGATTCCCATTTCTTTGAAAATAAAACCTCCAGATAGACCTACTAATTACAAGAAAAGAGGGCATGTATAAAATTTTAAGAAAATCTTTTTTACTGTAGAAAGATTGAAAAGTAACCAGAGTTATTACCCAGTATGCAGCTTGAACAAAATCAATATTTTGCCAGCCTTGTCAATTTATTGTTCCTTTCACTCTTTTTGATGGAGTATTGGAAAACACACCTCAGGAATTATACTTTTTACTACTAAATCTTCAGTGTGCGCCTCTGACAGGAAATACCATTTTTAGAGACTATAAATACAGTGCCAAAGGCAGAGCAAAGTGGCAGCGCAGATCTCCTAGCATTCATCTCCCCGTAGAAACACCAAGTTGAACAGCGTATTCATGTACCAAACTACTCCACAAGAGCAAAGGAAATCAGGTGAGAGACCATAGTACCTGTTTTTAATATGAGAAAATGAGAACACATATTGAAAAAGCAGGAAGGAAAGAGCTGCCCACCTCAGTCCTCCTCCACCCCAAGCAGCCCAGTGTGGAGGGAGCTGCGTCTTACTTGGGGGAATAAGAGTAGATCAACTCTGGGCCTTAGACTTGAAGTCTATGGTGAAACTCAGTGCTAGACAAAAAATGCCCCATCATGACCCCTACTGCTATGCCAGTAACTATGGACCAAGATGCTGGGACTGTGTTAGGCAGTCAGCTGACACATCACTCCTCCAACCCTGCGTGGCAAAGAAGGGAGCAAGACTTTGTGGGGAACAGGGCACAAAAACTAACACAGAGCTGTGACTCAGAGCCCAGTGCCAGGCCCGTCACAGGCCTAGCACCTAGTAGAAATTGAAGGCTTCATATGCAGGCCAGACCTCACAGATGGACCCTGTAGCCCCACAGATAGAGACCTGTACAATCATGCAACAGATGAATTTGGCCTGCACCATTTCCAGCCGTAGAGGGGGGCTCAGACACACTCACACTTGCTCTGGAGACAGTGCAGGCCTCTGTGAGATTCAAGTCCTGCCCAGTTTAGTGTCACCTGCCCAATTTAGTGTCAGTGGCTAAGATGCTATCTCCTACCTGTCTCTCATCCTCAGGTAGCACAGTTATTGCCAGGTAAGTGCTCACAGACAAGGCTCTAGGACTATCCTGGTACCAGGCAGAGACCTGCACTTTTGGAGGATGGGTTCCTGTTTAGGCCTGTATCACCACCAGCTGTGGTGTGGGTCCTGATTCACCCCTGAGACTGTGCAGGTGCACACTGCTATAGGACTCTGGTGTCATCCAGCTTAGGTAAGCCTAGATGGCCAAGATACTGCCTACCTGACTTTAAAACATATTACAAAGCTCTGATACTCAAAACAGCATGGGTTTTACATAAAACAGACACATAGACCAACAGAACAGAGCAGAGAAGTGCTGCTTCTATAGAAGCAACACATCTACAGCCATCTGATTTTCAACAAGGGTGCTAAGGAAACACACTGGAGGAAAGACAGTCTTTTCGTTAAACATCTCTGGGAAAATTGGTTATTGGAAGAATGAAACTTGACCCCCTCTCTATCACTAACCAAATACAAAAGTCAAAACAAAATGGATTAAAGATCTAATTGTAAGACTGGAAACTATGAAACTAATGGAAGAAAGCATAGGAGAAATGCTTCAGGACATTGGAATGGGCAAATTTTGTTTTGTTTTTTTACAAAACCCCAAAATCAAAGTAAACAACAGTCGGGGCTGGGGATTTAGCTCAGCGGCAAAAGCGCCTGCCTGGCAAGCGCAAGGTCGTGAGTTCGGTTCCCAGTACCGGAGAAAAACAAAAAAAAAAAAAAAAAAACAAAAAAAAAAAAAAAGTAAACAACAGTCAAAATAGATGGGAAATGTATCAAGCTAAAAAGTTGCAAGTGAAAGAAACAAGTCGGTAGAGTGAAGAGAGCCTACAGAACAGGAGAAAGTATTTTCAAACTATGCATCTGATAAGAGGTTGATATCTAGAATATACAGATAATATATAGAGAACACCCCAAACTCAATAGCAAAACAGACTAACTGATTAAAAAATGGCTAATAGATCTAAAGTCATTTTTTAAAAGAAGACATATATTTCAGTTTAGCTGAAGAATGACCCCCCCCAAACTCTCATGTGCTCTTTAGGGAAATGTAATGAGATATCATCTTACTTTGATAAGAATGTCTATTAGCTAAAAGATTAAAGATGATGCTGGCAAGAATGTGAGGGAAAGGCAACCCTTGTACACTGACAGTGAAATGTAAATGAACATAGCCATTATGGAATGTAAGTCAGTACAGCCATTATGGAAAATTGGAACAATATGGACATTCATAAAATAATTTAAACTAGAGCTACCATATGTTTCAGCAATCTCACTCCTGGATAAGTATCCAAAGAAATGAAATCAGTGACATTTGTACTCCTGTGTTCATTGCTGTACTATTTGCAATAGCCAAGAAATGCAAGCAAGCTAAGCATCCATCAACAGATGAATGAGTAAAGAATGGTACATTTACCCAGTGGGATTCAGCCATAAAAAGGAATGAACTCTTGTCATTTGTGATTATATGACTGGAACTGGAGAATATTATGTTGAGGGAAGTAAGCCAAGTGCAGAAGGATAAATAACTGCTTGATCTCACTCATGTGGAATCTAGAAGAGTTGTTCGCACATGAATTGAGAACGGAATAGTGGATACCAGAGGTGCGTGAGCATGGGAGGGAGAGGTACTAAGGTTTTAGACAGGAGCAAGAAGTTCTGGTGTGTGATTGCACAATAGGATCACTGTAGATAATGTGCTGTACATTCAAAAGGCTAGAAAAAAGGATTTTCAAAGCTTTCACCATAAAGAAATATGGTATATGAGATAAATATGCTTAAGTAGATTTAAACATACAGTAAATACATG